CTGCACATCTCCCATTTGCTGAAAAAAATGTGGAAGAACTCCTGCAGACAGTGGCCTCCTCCACTATGTAGTCCTGACACAGCTCCAGAGCAGCTCCACCCTGAAAAATAAATGTGGCAGAGATCCCATGGAAAGAAAAGTATGCAATTATATACATTGCATATGCATATGCAAAGGAGAGGAAGGAGAAAATAACACTCCTCATTATGTAGTATTGATTTTGCAACCTAGTCCTCATTTAAGGCAGATTTTGTATGTGCAATTATCTAGCTTTTAAAAAAGCAAACAGTAAAAAAAAAAAAAATCAAAACCACTTCCATCATGCAGCATCATATTGTTGTAAATGTCATTAGGGCTGAAGCCTTTAGCTTTACCACAGAGCTCCCTGCCACTCTGAGCTAACAGGGAAACTGTTAAGAGCAGTGGGTTGTCATCCGTGCGTGGAGAGGAGGATTATTAGACAAATTTACTTTGTTGGGGGATTCACAGGTATTTGCTGACAGAAGAGGACTGGTGGCAGGGTGTGAGTGGGGGTGGGGAATACAGAGATCTGTGGTTTCATTAGAAAGTCTGAAATACCTGATCTTTCCTGTTCTCCTCTGGCACAGCCCATTCAGCTTCCTACTATCGCATTTTCCCCTGTCCTAGTCTCCTTCAAGACTGCCCTTTCTCCATCCTAGTCTTTTTCCATCCGTTCTTACTTCTTTCTTGCCCTCTCTTTTACATCCTCTCATTAGATCCTAGTCCCAGTTTGAGAGCACCTCATCACAATCTCCTCCACATTCCACCCCACTTGTCCCTGCTCTTGTCTCTTTGGCCCACACTTTACCCTGACAGCCCCACTTTTTCTCAGCTCTGTTCCCTCTCAATCCTTCCTCCAGGGGCAACCCTGCCCACGTCTGAGCTGTATTCCCAGCCAGATACCTCAGGAGCCTTACATACAAGCTTACAACAGCCCCGTCTATTAATACTATCTCCTTTACTTCAGCTTTGCTCACTCATCTGCTCCCTGGGGACCAGATGACTCCTGGTATTGCACTGTTCTGACCCAGCTCCATCCCATCACCTCTTTGGGGTATGTCTGGACCACAACTGCTGCCATGACTGCAGAGCCATGCCGGTATTCCCATGCAGGCTTTGTACTCCCTGGGTCACCTGCTGTTACCTCCAATGTATAGTGCTCAGCTACAAACCTTACCGAGAAGGTGAGTAAATACTAGGGAGAACAGGCATGTATCTGTACCTGTATCTATATCCCTGTTTATAGTCTGTAGACAAACACCAGTACAAGCAAACGAAAACACACTTGGCAGTGTAATCACCCTTTCCACAGGCAATTCCTGTTTTCTACTAACACCTCTGAAAATCTGTCCTGAGCTGAAGTTCAAGACAGCCAATGTCCTAGTCCTAAACCTATGATAAATTTTGATTTTAGTTTGATATTGCGCAATGTATGAAATCTAGAAATTAAAGCTTTTATTAAGAGGAGAGAATTGGCTTTTCTGTGGTGCACAGAATACTTGTTTCAAAAGTAGGTATGTTCCTTCATAAGAAAGAGATCACCAAAGCTCAATATAGTTGTGTTTAGAGAGGCTATTAATGGTAATTTTGAGGCTTTAGAAGTGCAGTATTTTTTCTTTAATTTTCCCCTTCATCCTGCCATACTGGACTAGCTTCTTTGTCAGGAGTCTGTGAGATATTGCATGACGGTTTTTAATTCCCTAAAACATTTCCAACAGCTTTTTCACAGAATAGGTTCTGTATTTACATATGCATATAGAACACACGAGGACGTATTTTTATCGTGTGCTTTATTAGAGTGACATTATTCATTAGCACTCTCTGTGCTGTTGTGGCACAGGGATGGATGTGAAAGACACTACAATGCAGAAAGGACAGTTTGCCTTTTTAGCATGCCCAACCTTCAGCATGAGAAAGTCGCGAATCAAGCCTTCAAAAGTCAAAAGTTTACACTTTTTATTAAAAAAAAAAAAAAAAAAAAAGAATCTATATTAGGGGAGTTTATAATTCCTTACTGAGTATTTATGGCATGGCCACTACATGTTTTTCAGACCTTCCTCTATAACCGTGTGTTTTTAAATATTAAATGAGCGTTTCCTATGGTCTTTGGATAGTTGGGGTTAGTGCTTTGAGGAAAAAACCAAACTTGTGAGATTCAAGGCAGTTCATACCTGGTGGACACACAACATCAGTAGCGAGAAAGTCAGAAAGCATTAGGAACTCCCACAAAGATACAGGACGTCGCAGTGTATGCAGCGGTCAGTCCATGAGCAAGTGCACACAGCTGTATGTAGGCATGATGCATGAGCCCAGATGCCCATACGTGTGTGGCATTCAGACACAGATAGATATAGTCACTGTATCTGTGTTGCTAATGTACATGAGAGACCCTCAGGCATATAGATCTCATTCAGTGACTATCTATAGGAACGCCTGTCTGGGTGTGTGTTTATTAGATCTCATGCACAAGTGCTTCTGCATATGTGAACAAATCCTAGGCACAGATGTGAGTGGACTCAGGCTCAGTCTTATGTTTACGAGGTCTTGAGACGCAGTGTTGAAGTATGGGTGTGGGTAGGATTCACAAAAAAGTGGGAGAGGGCATGTTGGCCACATGCAGATGTGTATTTGCAGGGCTCGCATGTGGAATATAGTTAGGAGTATGAACGGTGAATATAAATGTATATCCAACTGAGAATCAAATATTGGCATTTGAAAGTGGCACTAGATATTTCAGTATATAGACCTGGGGATTTGCATAAAGTTCTGTGTGGAGAGAGAAAGGCTTCAGGAACAGGGATTGACTGTTTCCTTTTCTCTGGCAGAGGAGCATTTTAAGCAGGTAGAGCATTGCTAGATCAGCAGGGCACAGCCGTTTCACATTGTGGGAAGAGAACAGCATGGTTCACGCGTGCCCGTGCCACCACTGGCAGGATACACGGGGAAGGTGGGAACGGCTCTCCTATCGTGGGCGTATGGCAGGAATACCCTGGGCATTCTCACCTCCATTGGGGACCATCACTTACAAACTCTCTGGGTTTCCTCTGCAACAGACCGGGCACCTGTTCAGAACAAGGAAGAAGCTCAGGCCAGACAACACCGTATTAAAAAAAAAACACAAAACAAAAACCATGCAAAGTAATGCTGGGAGTGCTTGCATGTGGTAAGCACTAGCAGGCATTAAATTATACCTGTCAGCTGACTGGCAATTACTGCCTAAGCACTGGGGTGGTGGGAGTTTGGGAATATGTGTAAACACTTCTGCACAAGCAATTCATCCTGAACAGCCTATTACTTGTAGTGGTATACAAAACGGCTCCTAGCACCCACCTCGGCGTTGTTGTGCCTGTGGGGCACTGTACCTGTAGGGAACTACCTACAACTCACACTTGCTTAAGATGAGGAAGGCCCACAGCACCGCCAGTGCAAGTCACGATGGCAAGTGCTGGGAAAAGTTTTCTATTAGCAATACCTGCCCCTGGGATTCGTTTCACCGACTGTGGTATCGCTCCCGTGCAAGCAGACGCAAATGACCCTGCTTGTTGGTGTGGAAGGGCACGGCTGGGGTTCCCACGTGAGACACTAAGGCTTCTCTTGATGGGGTGGGGCTGGTATTTCATGGATAGCTATTTCATTAAAGTTTTCTAATCTCGAGATCTGCCTTCTTCCCTGCTTCCCCTTGAGCCATGGTGTGGCGGCTCTGCTCTCTCATCCCCTGCCACCATCTTTTCTGAGACCAGACAGGGGAAAGCGATGAGGGCTTCAAAACTCTGGGCAGAAACTCAGTGTGACCTCGCTCCCCTCAAGGCCAGCCCGTGTGCTGGGTGCTCTGGGGTACACACCAGTGTGAGGGAAGGGGGTACGCCCAGAGGGATGCGTCTCTGCTGTGGAGGAAAGAAACACTGTCAAAACAGCCTCACGTACCACCAGCTCTCCAAATGCCCTTCTTTGGTGGATGCAGGTGGTCGCAGGCTTCCAGCACGGCCACAGCTGGGCACGGGTGGTGGGTGTGCTGCCGATGGAGGACACCCACCCATCACCGACCTCGACGGCTGCGTGCGAGCACAGCGCCAAGGGCGTGCACCGAGCACCGCCGGCTGGGAAACATTTGCCCCGAAGCTCCCTCGGCGGCAGCACCCAGGCATCGAGGCCGGCCATCTCCCAGCCCCACAGCTTTACCTCGACCCTGCTGCCCCTCGGGTCCCTACACCCGTGGGTCGCATCCACCCGCGCTTCCCTCGGGTGCTGAGGTGGAAGGTTCTGGAAGAGCTGGGGGTGACCCACACGCGCGGCCAGGGCACCCTCGCCTCACCCTCCGCCACACGGGCGCTTCTGCCTCGCCGTGCCGCCCGGTGCCAGCTCACCCAGGTGCGTGGGGTCGACGGTCGCGGGGCCGCGGCCACGGGAGGCTGGGAGCCAGGCGCAGGGCCGCCCCCCCCCCTCCATGTGCGGTCTCGGGTGTGTGTGTGTATGCGGAGAGGGGGAGCGAGGGGGCGGACACAGTGGAAATTTCCACTCCCTGCAGCAGCCACAACCGCCGCCGCGGCGGCGGGAAGGAGGAAGGCGGGCGCAGGCCCCGAGCCGCGGCGGCGAGGGGGCGGGGGGGGGGCGGTGGTGGCGGGGCGGGGGGAAGCGGCCACGCCGCAGCTCGGCCCGCCCGACTACGAGCCCCCTCCCCGGCGGGGCGTCCCCCTCCCCGCTTCCCCCCGGCCCGGGGCGGCCCGGGGCGGGCGGCGGCGGCCCCCCGGCGGGCGTGTGCGCGGCGGGGGCGGTGCCGGGCGCGGGGAGGAGGCGGCACGGCGGAGCCTGCGCAGCTGCCGGCGCCCTTTAAGCCGCGCCGACCGCTCTCCCGCCCGGGTGTCTGTGCAGCCTGGGAGCCGTGAGGGCAGGAGCCGCCGCCAGCACCGCCGGGGACGCGCCTTCCTCCTCCGGTCCCCTTCTCCCCGGCATCGTCGCCCCCTTCTCCTCCTCCTCCTCCTCACCCTCTGCCCCGCCGCATCCCCGCTCTTCCCGCCACAGCCAGCTCTAAGATGCCCCGCTATGAACTGGCTTTGATCCTGAAAGCCATGCAGAGGGTGAGTGAGGGAGGGGAGACGGGAGGGAGGGAGCCAGGTGGGATCTGAGAGACACCCCCCCCCCCCCCCCCCCCCCCGCCCTAGCCCTCGGCGTGTCTCCTCGTTGCTTCCCTCCCCTCGCCGCCGCCGTGTGCCGCCCCCCTCCCACCCCCCCCCCCCCCCCGCGGCAGCCGCACGGCCCGGCCTCGGGCGCCCGGCGGGCTGGGGGGGGCGGCCCGGCCGGCCCCTGCCCCCGGGGCGAGCCCTGCCCTCGCCTCCGCGCTCGGAAGCGGAGTTGCGCAGCGTGCTTCAGGCTCCCGCGTACCTTTCTCCGCCCTCTCTCCCCTTCCTCTTTTTTATTTTTTCTTTCCCCCTTGCTCCTTTGGAGAGTTTGCTTAGTTGCTCCCCTACAGCCGCAGTCCCCTTCCCCCCCTTTGGTCCGCAGGTAAGCAGATCCCACGCTCGGCGAAACATCTGCATTTCTGCCTCTCTTATACCCCCCCTTCCGCCCCCCGTTTGGTGCAAGTGAACTTAGCCCTCTCCTTGCCCCTGTGCATTGGTGCCACCACGGCCCCCCCTTCCTCTGCAGCACCAGCGCTTTCTATTTGCCGTGTGCTTCACCACCCTTCCCCCCCCCCCCCCCCCCCCCCAGCACCTGCGGTGGCTTCGCTGGGTCCCTTGCTAGGTCGCGGCAGCCACACGCTAGGTCCCCTCGCCCGTGGGAGGCCTTGTGGTGAGCCTGGGTGGGGGAAAGCAAGGACTCGCTCCAGCAAGCTTCCTCTCGTGGGGTGCCAGCTCCCTGCTTGTCCAGCCCCCCTCTACCAGGGAAGTCTTAGGAATTTTTTGTTCCTGCCGTTACTAACACCAGTTGAGCTCTGCTGATACGGCTTGCTGTATCGCCCACGGGAAGGGATGCTAGCCGTTGCCGCTGTTTTTGGCGGCGTGGTGATAAGCTGTGGTGTGAGCGAGTGAGGTTATATGATGCTCTGTCTATTTTACAAGAGCTGAATCAGTGCGGGGGGTGTGTGTACTTGTGTGTAAAAATAAAATAGAAACATCTCTGTGTAGATGGGACCCTTTATTTGGAAAATAATAGCTGATACTGGCCCTTCTCTAGTACCTTCTATAGCCTTTGTTTATCTGCCACTTTCCAGCTTAATATGCAGTACTGGTGTTGGAATGTAGCAGCACTTCTGCTGGGCTGTAACCCTTCTGATCTGACCCAGTGTGGACATGCTTTCTCTCACATTTAACCTTCACTTAAATGAACATGTGTATTTGTCATAGAATAGCAGGAAGCTAAATAGCGTTGCTGTGTTTCTTTCGTAGTTATGGGAGCATGTCTTCATGTATTACATGTGCTGCATATACTAGTACATTTCCATTCATTTTACATGTACCATCCACATGTCAGGGTTGGTGTTTTTTTTTTTTTTTTTTTTCGTAATTTGGCTTAACTGCAGAAGCTGTAGTAGACCTCAGGTGAGTCCTCTAGTGGAGAAATACAGCAACAGGGAAAGAAGCTGGTGACATTGCCGCACCACCTCATGGAGCAGCATTCGCTCTGACAAAACATGCTGCTTGTGGACTTGGGTTGTCAACATGTGATTATTTTTTTTTTTATTTTTATTTTCCACACACCTCCCCAGGTGTGTATAATCCATAGGTAAGGTGATGAGATGCTTTTTGTATACATGCTGTTTATGTGGGAGAGGCGTTATGCAGTGCAGATGCTATAAATGCAGAGCAGGACAGCATGGCAAAACTGACATAATATTGAGACACAAAAAGCCTGACTACTCTGAAAGGGTGCCATGGAGTGCTGTCTGGTGGAAGGCATCTTTGGTTCCTAGGATTTGAGCTCAGAGATACGGGGATAATCTTTTAGCTGTAAGAAGCTTCTAATGAGCATCAGTGCCCTCAGGATTTAACATCTGCAACCTTTTCCTCTTTGAAGTTTGACACTATTATATTCTTTCCTGATAGATGTATCTTAAGGTGTTTTTTAGCTCCGTGATTATGTTAAAACACTTAAGTTTTGGTTCAGGTGTACTTCTATTTTTAACCTACCCTTGCTGTAATTCTAAAATTTAGAGAGTCTATCTCTAGATGCTGTTTTTTTTTTTTTTTTTTGTTATTGTTGCTGTTGACAATACATCAGATCTGTGTGCTTTTTAGTGTTTACTGCTGCCTTTCTTGTGTAATGAGAACACTTGAAAAAAACTTCTGTAGTGGTTATATGCTACATGGTGCTGCTGAATCCCAGCAAAGGGTTGCTCTAATGAACTCCATAGCAATGCATAATCTTGACTGTCATGCTAATTTAAATTAGTCAGAATATGGAGACCTGAATATGGGACTAATAAAATAGTCTGAAATTATGGAGTGACTGCATAATTGCTTCCTGTAGAAGCTGGGGAGATCATATACAGTCCTGAATAAATTACACTGCTCCTTAACAGGAGTGCTTCCTGATGGAGCTGCCCTGGGCAGGGGTTCACGGTCCTGCTGTGTCGGTCCCTCTGTGTGGTGGCTGCGTGCTCCGGTGCCTACTTTAGTCTGAAGCTGGAACAAGTGCTGACTCTTCTCTTGCTGTCTGTGGCACCCTTCCTCATCTTTGACAGCTTCCCTGCCTTGCGAGAGGAAAAAAAATAAAAATCAAAACCACCAAAGTAAGGCCCTGCTGCCTGGCTTTCTTGCACTTTAGGGCTGTTAACTCCTGTGAGCTCCCTGGCAGCTTGAGCACAAGCCTTCTCAGAGCTACAGCCTGGTAGGCTTTCATGCCCCTCTTCAGAGGCAAACTTCATGATTCTGTGGGGCTCCCCCCACCCACAATTGTTCTTAATAGCTACCTTGGCATTTTCGTAGACCTAGGCAGAATAAATCCCTCAAATTAATTTTTGTTGCATTAAACTCTGTTGCTTCCTAGCATTGCTTCTGTTCAGGTTGGGGATCCCTCCTCATTCTTTTCTTTCATGTGGCTTCTGTTGTGAACCACGGAGTCTGTTGTGCCGCTGGTTGCTTCCCCACCCATCTAGCCTCCACATGGTTACAGGGAGAGAGCGTGAGCCCTCTGTCCTGCCTGATGCTCCCATGTCCCCTGGTTTCTTGGCAGGCTTCCTCAGAGCCTCTTCAGCTTTCTTTTGTATCTTAAAAATGCAACACCCAAGAGCTTGGGGGGAGGAGGGGGCAAGGGGGAAGACTTTTACTTTCAAACTCCGTCACCAGTTGTCTGCATGTACTTTTCACAAAAGCTTGTGACTTTGTTCTGAAGTCCAAGCTGAACAACCATTCTCTGTCCTGTTTTGTGGCTTGCATATTATCTGGTAATTGATTTGCACTAGAAATACCGTATTTGTAAATTGCCCATGGACAGTGTCCTCCATCAGCAGAGACTGGTCAGTGACTCTTAGGAAAACAATAATAAAAAACCCTCAAAGCACCCCTAAAATAAGTAAATAAATGAAAAACTACTTCTCTGCAGTATCACTGTATTTGAAGAGTAGCTGCAGTGAGGGACTTGGGTTGTGTTACTCTGTGTCTGAGTATATGGAGGAGATGCTTTGGGAAAAGAAAGGTGTGAGGCCAGTAAATTCTAGTGGAAGTAAATGAATTTTGCTCACCTGTGTGGCTTTCTACACTCCAGCATACAAATAACAAATAGTACGGTGAGGTTGGGGAGTTTGAGGGCAGACTTGTTATTGGTAGTGTACAGATGTATGTAAATAACATGTTGCCTACCCTCAAGAGCCTGAGCCAAAGACTACAATTATGATGAAGGCTGAGGTGCAAAATGAAGACACAGCTGCTCATGCTCTAACCTTTACTATTTGTAGCAAAAGATGAATTTCTAATTATTTCTAACTTTCTCCCAGGAGACTCATCTTCAGCTCTCAGTGGGGGGATTATGGCGGAGCAGGACCTTCAACAGGAAAGGGTAGTGACCCGCTAGCGAATTAGCAGGAGTTGTCTTCTTTCTGGAGAAAGGAGAGGTCTTCTGGGAGCCTTCCTCTTCCTACCCTTCTTGTCTTGCCGAAACTCCCTGGAGAGCCGGGGGAAGGAAGTGGGGGGGGTGGGAAATGGAAGGAAGAGCTGGAAATGGCTTCCTATTGCTCTGATGCTGTTTTGCAGACTGACCACAGGGCGGCAATGCGAGACACCCTCCAAGGAAAATTGCCAGCTTGGGGAAGAACCTAGGACAGAGAGGGAAGGTGGCGGTACTCGCAGTGCTGTTCTTGCTGCTGCTCGGCTCGTGTGAGCTGGGCTACCCCGTCTTTGACAGAACAACTTTATAACGGGATCTGAAGTGAATGAACAGTTTGAAAATACTTTGCTGGCATATTTCACTAAAAATTAAGAAGCATATCAATATTTTAATAGCAGCATACTTTACTCCCCCATGTCACTTGGAGTGAAGGACAAATACGTAGTATATGTGTCAATATTCTAAAACCTTATTACGTTATTTCAGTAAATACTCAGATTAAGGAACCCATCCACCTGCCTCTGTAATACTACAGTGCATCTGAGCTCTCACTTTGACTGGCATGTTCACACAGTGTAACTTGTCTTCAGCATCTGTTTGTTGCCTTTGGAGTGGGTTGCCATCTTTCAAAAATTCCCTACCTGCTGTGGAGATGGTTAGCTATTTTAGGAAAGCCAAAGTAATGGGCAGTAGGGTTGCTTGACATCTTGACTGTTACACTTAATTGCTGTGTAGGCAGCTGCAGCAATTGGGATTTTGATATCTTTGTTGCTAGGAAGAAGGGGAGAGAATGAAGAGGGCAGTAAGCAGGCAGGTATTGGTTTTATTTTCTTTCCCTTCTGGTGAACCTGCCAGTTCTTACAGTTGAATATTACATCTTCCTTGCCCCTCCCTGCTACTTAGGCTAAAATTGCACAAAAGTTTCCCTCTGTTCCCCTTGACTTCTTTAGTAGGCTGAAGCAGGTGGTTCTTCACAGTATTATGCCTAGCAGGGAAGGACCCTTGTGTTGGTGGTGGTGCTGGAAAGAACACCGAA